ACCCTGCTTGGGCAGGGGGTTGGGCTGGGTGACCACAGAGGGCCCTGCCAACCCCTGCCATTTTGTGATTCTGTACCACTCTACTCGAGCTCTACAATGACCACACTCTGGGTACAGCCTCACCTCAACTGCTACTTGCTGGCAGCCTCCCGAAAGCACACGAGCTCGCAATGTCATCAGGCGCTTTTCTCCTGCCCTGAAAGCTTTCCCTCTGGGGAAAGCTGACCACAAAACTACCCCACAGCTTCTCTCGTCTCTGAAGAGTTATTGCCTCACTGGGAAGAAAAACCGACTACGCAGAGCACGGCGGGGAAAGGTACTGGAGGGGAAGCAGAGCAGTATCTGGTCTCCGATTTAAGAGCTCAAAAAGGATCGCACTGTGCCAATGAAGGGCTGCGTTTGCGGCGACGCGAGCCGCAACCTCGGTGCTGCCCGTGCCACGCTCGCCAGGCAGCTGCCAAGCAGCCTGGCCCCCTGTATCCTTCCTAGCTCACCTCCTGCTGCTTCTCCTCGTTTGGGTAGGTGTCCACGAACACTCCCAGGCCCAGGAAGTTATCCTTGCTTCCAAAGACAGGCCCTAGGAGGAAGGAGAGGCTCTGACTAAGGGTGGCAAGGCCAGGCAGGCGTGGAGAAGGGTTTGTTGCCCATCCCTCCGTGTTGTTCCCTGCATCAGGTACCGAGGCAGGCGCTCCCAGGGACAGATCTACCTGAGATATACCCTCAGATCACATAACTGTATCAAACCCCACACGTGAGTTGGGAGGGCGTACAGGGTCAGGGCATGCCGTGGCAGGGCCGGACACTGCGATGGGAGATCAGCGGGGAGGGATCTGTCGTCCCCAGCTCCCACCCACGTCGGCGGGACGGAGCTGCGTCACCTCTCCAACGGCCAGAGATGGAGCCGAGCAGGGCAGAGCTCCACGCAGCCACCAGCAGCTCATCGAGCACAGACCCCCCAGGCAGGGCTCAGACTAAACCCCGCACCCTTCGTCGGACAAGGATTGAGCCTCCTCCGGAGTCTGATTTTTAGGAGCTGACTCCCAGCACGTCCCATTGTGCCACCCATCTCAAGATCAGGGCAAAACAACCCCAAAGGCTGACTCCAGCCTCCCTGGGCCCCCCTAAGCCCCCAACCCAGGGTGCCGAGACTCAGAGGCAGCCTCACGCATGGTCCTTACTCCCTCTTCGCCTGCCACAGTGGAATAAAAACAACCCTAAGGCCCCACAACACTGCAGTTCCTCAGAGGACGCTGCAAATCCCCGCTGTGGTTTCCCTGAGCGCGCCTATGGACCAGGGAGAAGGTCTCCTTGAGACCTGGAGCTGCCCGGCACCGTCCCCTCGCCACACGGCCTCCACCCCGGCAGCTTTACCTGGCTGCATGCGGTCTTTGGTGTACCAGATGGCAAAGCCGTCTCCGTTCAGGTTCTTCTTGCCTTGCCCGTGGATTTTAAAATGCACCTGCATCTCCCAGTCGCGGAGGTAACACGGCTGCAAGAGGAGGAGCAAGGATGTGAAATCTGGGCGTCCCTCACGCCAGCACCCAACCCTGCCCACGGGGGTCAGGCCCCACCCCCCGCAGCCGGCTGGGCCGTCCTCTGCCCATCGCAACAGCCGGCAGCTCCACGCGCCGTCAAACCGGAGAGCGCGCCGCCACTCCTTGCCAACAGACCCTGCTGTCCTATATTTTGGGTGTGAGCAAGAATAATTAGTCCCAACAGACATCATTAAGCCAAGGGAATTGGTCGTTACCCAAGGCTGCAAGAAGCCAAGGAACCGATTCCGAGCTCACGCTGTCCTGAGGCAACTCCGGCAAACCAGCACTCGCACCCAGGAAAAGGAGAGCAGAAAGAGCCCGAGGAGCAGCTAATTGCTGACGAGCCAATTATTCCTCGAGCTACCCAGAACTTCCCTGCGCTAACGGGCACGCAACCCGCCGAGCCTGCAGCGGAGCGACCAGGGACCAAGTTGGTTC